TCAATCAATCAATCAATCAATCATTTGATAAATCATTTAAAAGCAAACAAATTTTCTCTTCCTAGAAGAACAAGTCTCCAGGTAATGAAGACAAGAAGAGGAAGATCGTAAAAAAGAAGAGGAGAACCAATAAGGATGTCAGTTCGTTGTTGCTGTCATTAATGGTGATGATGATGAAGATGATGATGATGATGTTATTGATGATGATGACGACGACGATGATGAAGAAGATGATGTTGATATCGTTATTTGAGGAATTCTTTTTGCATTACTCAAAGATGAAGATGTTGATGATAAGATGTCGTTGGTTAAAATGATGATGAGAATGGTGACGATGTTGACGATAATTATGATGATGATGTCGATGATGATGATTAAGATTCATCAATTGTGATGATTGTACCATCTACGACTTGTAATTGTTTTAAAAATAAAAATAAATGAAGAATTACTAATTAAACTTAATAGTAAATAATAATAAATAATATAATGTAGTAATATTAATAATAATAACATAAATAATGAACAGCTGACAGAAGAGATGGTGAGCATGAGTGAGGGTCTGTTGACTCCAGCGTCGTCGTTGTTGATGTCACAGCTGGACGACGACTACGTCATGATAGAACAGCTGTTCAGTTCGACGGTAACTGCATGCGATGACACTCACTGTTTCACTGACCTCTTCAGGGTCATGCCCTCTAGAATGGATAGCTTGGCGATAGTTTTTCAAGTGATAATAATGAATGATAATGGTGATGGTGTTAATAATAGCAATGATAACGCTGAGGCAGATGTCAGAATTGGAACAGCGGTTAAACAGCTGAGAGCCATTGATCCTGACGTAAACTCTACGCTCACTTACCGAATTCTCCAGCAAACATCCTTCAACAACAAAAAAACAATTGGCAAAAGTCGAGGCAGCGAAACTAACTACAACCACCGAAACGAAATTACCAACAACAACAACAACGACAACAACAACAATAACAACAACGACACTAACATCAACAGCAACAACGACAACAACATCAACAACAACAACAACAATGATAAGAGCATAGTTAAAAATAAGGAAGAACTGATACAAGTCATAAACCAACAACAAGATAAACGCCAACTAACTCCGGAACAACGACACGTACTGTTTCTGATTCAGCAACAACAACTTGAGCAACAACAACAACATCAACAACAACCTCAACCACGACATCAACAACAATATTTTAAGATCAACGAAACTACGGGACAGATCTCAACTTCATCTCAATTAGATTATGAACTACATACTAAATATATACTTCTCGTGCAAGTGAGATAGAATCATCATTGACTAATTGATGACATTAACAAATAATTAATTTAACTAATTAATTAACTATCTAGCGAACTAATTGGTCAATCTAAATTGTTTAAACTTCACGATAAACTAACATAATCTGTTGTTGTTGTTGTTGTTGTTGTCTAGACGCTT